TTTGGGGGGAAAAAAAAAAGGAGGGTTGGCAATAGATGTTAGCTCAGAGCCGGTCTTCCTCAGCAAAAGGAGGAGGATTAGCATGGATCTTAGCTCAGGGCTGACCTTCCTCACACACACACAAAAAAAAGATGGGTAAGGACCATCTCTGAGGCCCCTCCTAATCCGCCCCCTCCCCTCCCTGACCTCCCCCTGGCTCACCACTCTGCTCCAGACCAGCTGCTCCCCGCCACGGCCCCCAGGACCTTGGCTTTCACCTGGGGGCTCTTGCTGCGCCCCGGCCCCAGCACTCTTCCCCCCACACCCACACACCTGGCCCCTCACCCTCTGCACCTGCATCCGCACCTGGGGGCTCTTGCTGCGCCCCCGACCCAGCACTCTTCCCCCCACACCCACACACCTGGCCCCTCACCCTCTGCACCTGCAGCCACACCTGCATCCGCACCTGCACGGTGAGGCCCGCTCTGACCACCCCCACCCCCGAAACGTGCAGCAGCCCCCGCCTCCACACTCCCCACCCTCCCGCCCTTTGCCGCTCGCATTCACCCCGGCACCCTGCCCTTGCTTATCCGTATTACGTAAGCTCGGGTACTGATGACGTAAGCTCCGGGCCCGCGTGGACCTTCCGGGCTTTGTTCCCGAATTTGTCCCAGCACCTCCTGCGTGGCACGCTGTAGGCGCTCGACAAACGCTAAAAGCTTTCAAAAGCATAAATGACTATAACTTTAAAAATCAAATATTAATTAAACTTTAAAACCTAAATAAACCTCCAAAGTCTTTTCCGCTACAGATGTCCAGGCAGCACGAAAGGACATGAATTTTCACAATGTAAAAATAAATTTGCTTTTATTATCGGCATCCGCAGCGCCGCAGTCCACAGGAAAGCCAGGCCCGCTCTCCCAGTCCGCGGACCCCCAAAGACCCACGTCCCCCAACGAAGGAGGAGGTCCGCAGGGCGCAGGCGCAGAAGTCCTCGCCCTCTGTCTGGGGCGGCCCCTGGCGGCGGCGGCGCGCCACCCGGGCGGAAACGGCTACGGTCGGCCTCGGGGCGCATGCGCGGGTCCTGGAGTTCTCGCGAGACGTCGGGCGTACGTGCCGCGCAGGGGATTTCCGGTGGTGGGGCCTGGTGCGGGGCGCTGGACCCGGGAGGCCCTGGGGCGCGGGGCGTCGCCCGCCGCCATGGACCCTTTCCTTGTGCTGCTGCACTCGGTGTCGGCCGGCCTGTCGAGCGGCGAGCTGACCGAGCTCAAGTTCCTGTGCCAGGGCCGCGTGGGCAAGAGGAAGCTGGAGCGCGTGCAGAGCGGCCTGGACCTCTTCTCCGTGCTGCTCGAGCAGAACGAGCTGGACCCCGAGCACACGGCGCTGCTGCGCGAGCTGCTCGCCTCCCTGCGGCGCCACGACCTGCTGCGCCGCCTGGACGACTACGAGGCGGGGGCGGCGGGCGGCGCCGCGCCGGAGGAGCAAGGTGGGCGGGGGACGGGGGTCGCGGACTAGGGACTGGCACCGGGGCTGGGGGCCATGTGGAGCGGCCGCAGCTCCTTCACCAGCCTGGTGGTAGGCGTGTTCGTGGTGTACGTGGTGCACACCTGCTGGGTCATGTACGGCATCGTCTACACCCGCCCGTGCGCCGGCCACGGCAACTGCATCCTGCCCTACCTGGCGCGGAGGCCCAAGCTGCAGGTGAGCGCGGGGGTGGGGGCTCGGGGATCCCGGCACGGCGGGGCTGAGGGCCCTGGCACCTGAGTGCTGACCTCAGGGCCCTTCTCTCCTGAGCCCACCCGGGGCCGGCTGGAGGCTGCTGGCCTGGTCCCTGACCTGGGGGTCGTACCCTAAAGACCCGGCCTGCACGGTGGCCCCAGACGGCCCGGGCTGGGGCCCGGCCATCCGGGGTCCGTGTCCCCCGCCCTGCCGATCCGGTGGATGCACACGTTAGCACATTGTGTCTGTGCAGCGGACACGGCAGGCGGCCGTCCTTCCACCGGTCGGAGTTCTGTCCCTCTGGAGTGAAAGGAAGCCTCTGCCGGGCGGCTGGTCAGATGGTCCTCCCTCAGTATAGCTGTCTGACCTGTGTTCTCTGCCAGGGGCCTGGGGAGCTAACTTTCTTGACGTCCTTTTCAGCTAAGTGTGTACACTACCACCCGGTCCAACCTCGGTGCGGAGAACAACGTGGATCTGGTCTTGAACGTGGAGGACTTTGATGTGGAGTCCAAATTTGAAAGGTATCGCTGTGGGACAAAGTGCCAGTGATGGGGTAGACGTTAATAATCTTGAGATGGTTTGGAAGTTAGCGTTCTGTCTGTAGTAAGGTTCTTATTATGAAGCAGGCGGCGTGCCCTGCTGTCTTGGATGGTGGAGCATTTTAAATGTGGACGTGTGTGATGCATACACAGTGAAACATTTGTTGTTCTTGAAGGTAGAGATGGCGTTGTCACTTAGGAAGTAGCTGACACCAGCCTCTGGTGGCCATGGGATACACGGCCGCGGGGAGTTTCCAGACGAGCGGGTCTAGGGGTGGAGACACTGTAGTGGGGAACAGACAGCTTATGGTTGCCATGGTTCCCATGGCAAACAACTTGTTTCTCCCTAATGGAAGCAGCTTTAAAGTTATATGCAATGTGTGGTTTTAGTTTTAAGATCTCAGCAAGTATAATTTAAGAAACGATTTGTTTATCAAGAGTCTGCCTTTTCCCTCTGCACTGTCTGGGAGGTATCAGATGACAGTCATGGAATGTGTGACACTGGGCTGGACTAAGCATCCTCTATCCAGCCCGCCCCCTCGGAGAGCTTCGGGAGGCAGTGCTGTGGGCAAGGGAAGCCCGCGCACTTGGGGCAGCCACTGCCTGCCGGGCCACTTCAGCCTGTGACCTCGGTGAGTGACTGTGAAGTGGAGACAGGAAACTCAGGCTTTCAGCTTTCAGGGTAGCTGCCATGCTTTTAGGGCAAGTTCTGTAAACATCTGCACTCAGGGCTTCAGGAAAGTCGAGGCAGGTGGGTTTCACTTTTAGTGCTTCTAAAGCTGAAATTAGTTTGAAACAGCGTAGTGTATAAAGATGTCGAGTGGTCTCAGGTGCGTGTATCTGCATACAACACGAAGTGGTTGAAGTTGTCATCTGTTCTGCTTTAGGACAGTTAATGTCTCTGTACCAAAGAAAACCAGGAACAACGGCACGCTGTATGCCTACATCTTCCTCCATCACGCGGGCGTGCTGCCATGGCACGACGGGAAGCAGGTGCACCTGGTGAGCCCTCTGACCACCTACATGGTCCCCAAGCCGGAAGAGGTCAATCTGCTCACGGGGGAGTCGGCTACACAGGTGAGTGTCTCGTCAGGTTAGCAGCCGAAGGATGCCTGCGCTCTCCCCTTGGAATTCACACGTGCGTGTCCCTGCACATGCAGCCTGCGTCTGGGGTGGAGTGGCTGCTGGAAGATAAAGTGATTTGTAGTTATTGGCATACATATCTATGTTTCAGCTGAATAATTGCCTGTGGGTTTGCAGAGAAACGTTACATCAGATTAGTGATGTGCAATTAAAGTAACCCATTGACGTTCTTTACCCAGATTCCTACTCAGGCTATGGTCCTTCTCAACGCCTAGAGCGTGTGCACCCCTGTGGGGTGCGGGACGGCCCCTGCTGCAGAGCTCAGCTGCGTTGTCACATAGAGTTGGGAGACTCGCTGCACTGTGTGTAGGACAGATGGGACAACTCTTGAGTGTTTAGTCTAAGAGTTTATTTCAAGATTATGAAATAGGCACGTGTACAGATTATACTTGTGCATCGTATAAAACTGTGGTACAAAGAAACTCTGGAAATCACCTGAGTGGTCACTCATGAAGCTGTGGATGGAACAGACGGGTTCTGCCCCTCAGGTCTGTGTTGAATGGAAGGTGGGGTGACTGACAGACAGGAGGCAGCTGCTTTCCTGGAAGTCTGACACTGCCATGTGTGTTGTGTCCTTGGGAAGACCCCTCTTCTCCCTTCCCTGGGGACAGCATGGCACTGCCTCGAAGGCCTTCCTAGGGCATCAGGGAGGCGGGGGGTGTAAAGGGTGTGGAGGAGTCCCTGGAACATACAGATGCCAAGTAAAGGTTAGCTGTTGCTGTGACTCGGGAAACCATTTTTATTATAAATTATTATAGCTACACTGTGTCTTTACAGATAAATGATGGCACTGGTTCATAGAATTTATCAATTAGATCTGAAATAAAGATTTTCCCACCAGTCAGTTTCTTTCTGAATTTAGTTGTGTTTAGGATTGATGCCCAGTTGTTGACACGTTTCCTTCCAGACAACTTGACGTACCTGGTGTAGAAGCAGTCTCCTTACACACCACGGGGCTGTTAGCTCCTGATTGGCTAGGCCTCCTGCAAATGTCCCAGGGCCTCGCCCTTCTCAGATCTGAGAAGTGGGCCTGCTTAGGCTGAGGACCCAAAGCAGGAGTCACTGAGATCCAGGACCACATATTGCAATCTCTGGCTTCTGTTGAGAGAAGCAAGTGAGGGTGCAGGGTCTGGAGGAACTGGCAGCCGTGGGCCCCACATGCCCTGCAGGCTCTGCTTCCCAGCTGTGCTGTCTCGGCACGTGGGCTGTTCCCAGGTGAAGGTGCCGACCGCCCTGCTGCCTCGGACCCTCTCAGGCACGGCATCCCACCCCAGGTTCCTCTTCTCCTGCCAAGTCACTTCTCTCATTTAGCAGCAGATCGAAGCGGAGAAGAAGCCGACAAGTGCCCTGGATGAGCCCATTTCTCACTGGAGACCAAGGCTAACACTGAACGTGATGGTGGATGACTTCATCTTCGATGGGTCCTCCCTGCCCGCTGACGTGCATCGGTACATGAAGATGTAAGTGCCGCTGGGCTGAGGGTGAGCTGAGGACCAGCACTGTGGGGGTGGCGCCGCAGGACACGGGTACCTGCCCGGCCCCGAGCATCGCTCGTTTACTCCCTGAGCTGACAGCAGAGGGGGTGACCCGGGGGTGTTGGGGGTGGAGGAAGCCCCCTGGGATGGTGGCTGACCAGAATCCAAAAACGGGTAGGCCACACTAGCATCCTTGAGCCGTCCCTGTGATGAGAGCCCAGAGGGCGAGAAGGCTGCCTGGAGCACGCCCAGCCTCACCCTCCTCTCCTGGAGGTCTTGCTCATCAAGGTTGCAGCAGAGCTTGGGAAGGGGAAAGAAAGACAGGGGAGGGAGTCCTCTTGCCCTCTGCTCTTGGCAGGGGTGTCCACTGGAGAGAAGGTGGAAGGCACTGATGAGACCGTGTCCCTCTGCACCCCGGGAGGTTTTTGTCCCGTCTGCATACTGATTACCTTTGTTAGGAACCTCATGATTTGTTCATTTTACATTTTCTTGAAAATCAATTTTTAAATAGTTACGTTACTCTCCCTTGTCGTCATTAGTTAAGCATAACTATTGAAATTACTTCAAAGTAGGTTATCCTGCATCTCCCTACTTGAAGATTCTCCCCTGTTAAGATCTCCGACTAGATCATCAGGTGGCACCTAGAAGTGGCTGTGATGAGAATTGTTTTCCTTCTTCACTTTTCAGTGGTTCTTGGGGTATTATCATGAGCGTTTTTGCCTTTTTAAAATTTTAATCTTGTTTTTGAATATGTAATACAGTCACATAGTTCAAAGTGTAAAAGGTACAGAGAGGTCATTGGGTGAAAAGCACCTCACTCCCATTCTCCGACCCCTGGCCCCTCCCAGGTGTCAAAGGTAGATGGGTTTTTATTTCTGTTCTCACTGCATCACTGACTACGCCACATCAGTGCACGGACGGGCCCGTCTCTTTCTGCAGCCTGGATGGGTTCCACATGTGGCCGGGTCCCCGTTTATTTCCCATCTCCTCCTGGTGGCCCCTGGGGGTTTCCCACCCGTGGCTGTGACTGTCAGGGAAGACCCCTCTGCTTGCATCGGGAAGGCAGGTGCTGGGACTATTGTGACCAAAAGCTACTGAAGGCACTGGTGGGATTTCTCTGGTATAAATGCCGTGTCTCTGTGCTGCATTCAGTCCTCTGAAGGCAACAGTTCACGTTGACGTTGACAGCTGTGCTTTGACCCTCAGGATCCAGCTGGGGAAGACCGTGCACTACCTGCCCATCCTGTTCATCGACCAGCTCAGCAATCGGGTGAAGGACCTCATGGTGAGTGTTGCTCCTTCTGGACTCCCGAGACCTCGCGTGTGGCTGCGCCGGCCCTGCTGTGGTCACTGGTGCGCGTGTTTCTCACTTGGCGTGGGCGTGCTCTGGGCTTGCTGCTGGCTGGCGGTGGGGTCCCTACGAGCCGCTCCCTCCCCAAGGCCTCACACCCTCGCTGTGAAAGGCTCTGGAAAGATCTTTTGCTAACTGGATGGTGGGCGTGAGGAGCCCGTGGAAAGGCCTCGTGTTGTTCGAAACTGCTTGTGAATGCTGCTCCATTGAACCTGAGGTTTCTGACTCGAAGGCACAGACTGATTCAGAAAGTGTCTTGAGCAAGCTGCTTCCTCCAGGGCTGGCCCTGTGTAGTATCGCCA